GTTAAACACGTCGCAGCTCACTTAATTGCAAACCTGGATTGAATGGATTGACTCAATCGACCAGATGTTCATTCACGCATGCACGTTTCTCTCATTGTTGATTTTGTTACTTTTGTAGCAGCCGTTGTCGCTTAATTGCAAGGGAATAATGCATTCAAAAATTGTGTCCAATTTGTACACTTTTCTTCCTCATCAGTAATTCTAATAATTTCTGTTGTAATGTTTTAATTTTTACACGAAACTCAAAAAATTTTTTTTCTTGCATGTAAAATTAATTAATTTTATAAGAATATTAAATCTTTAAATTTATGACTACTGTAAGTTTTTAATTTGAAGCGCTCAAATTTGATAAAAATAAGTTCACTCCGACGTTGGCGATCACGTGTAACTTTCTAGAATGACAATCTTATTGCAGGTGTTTCAAGTCCTGACATGACGTCTGCCCACACCACGACCTGATGAAGAAGTGACCATTTGGCACCTCTCATGCGATGTCCGTCAAGGTTGGGCTTTCATTAAATTTGAGCGTTTTAAAAAAAGACATCTATTTAACTATGCCAAGTTTCACATACATCAATCAATCATACATTTACAGATTTAATTATCTTAAAAAACTAAATAATTATTAAATTGAAATTTTTTGTTTGGTTTAAAAATGAAAATACTTCAGCTAAAATTATTAAAATTGGAACACTGAACAGCGTGGTGCATGAAGCAGTAATTAATTACAAGCACCACATAGCCAAACCATTCATTTGAATCAACATATCCGGCAAGTGTGACAGCTGTCCACACCTAAACTTTTAAAAAACAATAAAAGACAAACGAACATACAATGTAAACTTTGAAAGAGGAGAGTGACCAAAGTCTGATGGGGGTGGGAGAAGTTTGGAGGAGAGAACATCTGCAACTCAAGGAGAAGAAGAACGAGTGAGACCCACAAATGTCCTACCCCCGAGTCGTTATTCAACCACTAGGAAATAAAAAACACAGCAAAACTTGAACAACATCAATGAAAAATGTCTTAACGATTCTTTAATTACAATTCTTAGTGAAATTTCACTTTTAAATTTTGGTATTTTGTTTTGGGCTTTTATTAAATTTGAGCGTTTTAAAGTTAAAACGTCTGTTCAATAATTTCAAATTTCACGTATATCAATTATAAATTCATAGATTCAACAATCTTAAAAAACTAAATAATTCAGAGTTTGTTGTAGAGTTAACTTTTGCTTCAGTTTTGTTGCTTCGTTGAAGCAAAAATACTGTTCAACGTTCGTTGTAGTTCCCACAACTTCAAAAAACACAAATTCAACATTTATTATTATCAAATAATTTTTTTTCATTTAGTAATTCTTTATCAATTTCTCTCTAGTCTCTCTCTCTCTCTCTTTCTCTTTCTCTTGGTGATTGGCTGAGTGAGAGGATAAGTGAATGAGTGAATGAACAAACAGTAAATAAAGGAAACACTACAGCTTCATTTGGCGGTTGAATACGATCATCAGTAAATAAAAGAAACGCGTCAATCATCATCATCCGTTCTCTTTCTCTAATTTTACTAGCTTTCTAACTCTCTCTCCCCCATCTCTCCATTTCTTTCTTCCTTTTTTCAAATGTTTCTTTCCACCCATCACTTTTTTCTGTTCCCTTCATTCTTTCTTTCTTTCTCTCTATCTTGCACACTCTCTCTCTCGCTCTATCAAAATCTTAAAATAATTTTTTTTATTAATTAAAAAAATTGCTCGTCTCCGCCAGGCAGGGTGTATAAAGCTGAAATAATTGGAAGTCTTATTCTTGCATCTCCAATGAACCCCACCAGTGCAGTTCAATACTTCCAGCTAGGTGCCTACCTACCGAGGACTTTCATGTGGGCTCATGTTTAACGTGGGTGTTCCTCTGCGGATGAATGAACAAGTCAGAATACTTAGAGTAGTGATCAACGACTGTAACAATAATAAGCGCAACAACTGCAATAATGATAATAATAATGAGAACATCCTTTTATTTTCATTTTGAAACATAAATTGTAATTATAAAATTAAAGTAATTAAACTAAACTTCTATGAAAAGGGTCAGACCAAATAAAATTAATTAATGAGTAAAAATACTCAAAAAAACCTAGCGGGGAAATTTCAAATGAATTTATTATAATATTTGAGTTTTTTTAAGTTTTTCAGTTTGTCTATCAAATTGTTATTAAGATTTTGAAAGTATTTTGATGTTTTATATTTTTTAGATTTAGAAAAGTTAGATTCATGGCAAACTGTTAATTCCAGTATTTCGATAGTATCACCTCGTCGAATGGCAATGTCTGGACGAAGTGATTTGAAGAGAGATGGTTCTGGAAGGTATTTGTTGCAGTTGCGTAGATCAATACATCCGCAATTTCAAATAATTGAATTTTTTCTAAAATCCTCGATAGTATAATGTTGTGACGTGTCCTAGCGGTAGAGGTTTGCGTTTGTTGGAAATTGTTGAATGAGAGCCTTCCTGACAAATTTGAATAAAACCTCTGGTAGACCTTTTGTGAACCTCGACTATTGACTTATGTGGATTTCTGGAATATGATCTTTAATCGCTTTAACTAACATCCCTTGACATTAAAGTGATAATAGATGAACATAACGGACTTTGATGAACATAGTCGGACTTAATAATAATAACAATGGGAACATTTTTTTATTTACCGAAAATAACACAATCCAAATGGAATCCATCGAAAATTATTAATTATATATTAGAGTGTAAATAAATAAAATATAAAATATAATGTACGATCTTCTCATGCTCTTCGATCAACAAGTGCTTGAGAGTAAAAAAGATATTTTTAAAATCGGTTAATAGTGTTTCTGTCACAATATATGCTATATGACGAGCGAATTACCGCGTTAATCAATTTTTCATTAAAAGATTTCGGCCATAAAATTTTAAACAAAGTTAGATTAAATTGTTATAAAAATTCACAGGTGATATTTCAAATGAGTTAATAATTAGCGAACAGTTATTGTAGACTGAATTTAAGTTCAATTTCAAATTTTTATATTTCTGGCGTTTGTATTCACGTGAGGAAGCTAGGCTGGTTTCGTGGCAAATTGTGAGCTCTAAAATTTCGATTTTGTTTTTGTAGAATGGCAATGTCCGACCGCAACTTGTCGAACAACTGTGACATTGGACGCACACTTTCTACATTAAGATCGGCAAATATGCAACAGTCTGATGGTGCACAAATCTTTAAATCTTTAAGATAGCAGATTGGAGGCAGGCGTTTTAAAGATGAGATGGGCCCCGTCCAGGAACATTAGCGTTTTGAAAACTTTTCCTCAACTGCTGACTAATTCTTTGAGGTTGTCTGAAAGCTTCTTACACGCGCAGCCACACGTGCGTCTGTGGACAGTTGCAGAACACGGCATTCAACGGCGACACGCAACATGCAGCCGGATTGCTCGACAACTATTTGAAACCAGTTTGAAAGAAGCGCTCGAGTTATTGAGTTTCGTCATTTCTAATTCTTCTTTTTTTATAACATTTTTTCTCATAGAATTATGCCAACGTTATTGGGATGTAATAAAATACAAAAAAAGATTTCTATTCTGAATTTTCTTCAATTGAAAATGTTTAAATGGGAATCATCCGTTTTGTGTAATTTGATGTAGAGTGGGGAAAGCACGGCGTCATCTGTCCGGACGTTGCATGCCTTATGGGACTGCTTAATTTGCCTCATTTCTCGAATTTGTGTAGAGACCTTTGAATGTTTAATGCTCTTAATGCATGTATACCAAAATAAACAGGCATTCGAATGTCCGCGCGTGTATTCTCTCCTGAAAGGGGAGTTTATGTTTAAAGATTGCTTCCATGTCTAATAGAAGATTAATTAACATGCCAAATATTATGTGTACAATCACTTCGGAAAGTTTTGAAATATTCTTGCTAGAATTTATTTTTAATTTAAAATGTTTTAAGCCGAAAGAATTATGAATTTAAATTTCAAATTATTTGCTTAATATATAAAAAAATATTTCATAACGTATGGTAGTGAGTTATGCGTGGAAGGCAGTGAATTTTAAACGAGGAGCACGGCGTGGATCTTAAACAATATTTACCGTGGAGTTAATAGATGGATCGGAATATAAGTGGCGGTCGAGTGGTCATTTCTTTGTAATGCGCATCAATATTTTAGGTCCATTTATTTTTAATGCAAGTTCGAGGCAGACCATGCTTTCATGTTACGCCTGCATTATGGTACATGTCGTCAAAGCAGGTGTCGTGCTTTCAAATATTTATGATGGATTCGACAGAGGTTAAAACAGAGAAATTATAGTTTATTAGTCGAAGCATGGAAAAATTTGGTGCTGTTTGAAAGAGGACGTACAACAAAATAAACAAACGAACAGAGTGGGATTGATGCAACAGGGTGTGGCTTAATCGCAGAAGCCAACATCCGCACTGCAGAAAGAACATCAGTGGCATGGAACACGCACAACCTGATGTTTGTAACCAGCGCCGTTCGATTTTCAGAGGCGTGAGTGGCATTTGAAGCACATCCATACAGACACGTCAACCTATTCCTTCAATTTAAATGTAAGGCAATCAAAGTTGATGTTGAATGCAAATGAAAATTCTTTTCATGCTGCTTCAAAACATGTAACGTTTAGGAGTTTTCCAACTGGTGGGCAGATAAAAAAATAACCAAAATACGTAGGTGGATGTTGAATAATGTTGAATAATAATAAATTGTCTCATGAATAATTAAACTAATAAATGGGCGAATATTCATAAATTTGTAATTTATCAAACGAACGAGAAGATTAGGATAAAAACCGATCATTCGAACAGTTAAATAAAAAATAATTTCTCATTGCCACAACTGTTCATCGAATTTGTTCGTCACCTTAGAAATACATTCACAGCAAGCATGGAACGAATAATCAACGTCACAAAAACAACCGCTGCTGACACGTTTGAGACGAAAGAAAGAAAGAAATGAACGTACCCTTCCTATCGGCCGAATACAAGATGAGACCCAACATATCCGCACCTCCACCCTCCCCCATCACCGTCACCCTGCTCCGATCCCCTCCGAATGATTCGATGTTCTCCGAGATCCAGGTCAGTGCCGTGATGACGTCACTCACTCCCTGGTTGGCCTGCACGCTGCCGTCAGATAGGTCACGTGATGGAAGGAAACCTGCAGGGGGGGTGTGGGAGTCGTGTGTGTGGTGGTGGTGGTGGTGGGTGAAGGTGAGTGGTGGTGGTGTCGTGTTCTGGTGGCTCGCATGTGATGTTCTGTGAGGTTTTAACGTAAGACGTGTTTCATGTTTTTTGCAAAATTTTTATTTCAAATACTTATAAATTGATTTTAAAATAAACATTTCTAAAAAATAAATTTGCGGAAAGTGCAATCGGTACGGTGCTTAACAAACACTACCTACTCCATCTTCAACTGATTCAAAATCAAATTATTTTATATTCAAACTTAAACGCCGTTTAAAAATGTTATTAAATTTCAAAATATAAAAA